GTGGTGGTGGTGGTGGTGGTGGTGGTGGTGGTGGTGGAGGTGGAGGTGGTGGAGGTGGAGGTGGTGATGGTGGAGGTGGTGGTGGTGGTGGTGGTGGTGGTGGTGGTGGTGGTGGTGGAGGTGGTGGTGGAGGTGGTGGTGGTGGAGGTGGAGGTGGTGATGGTGGAGGTGGTGATGGTGGAGGTGGTGGGGGTGGGGGTGGAGGTGGAGGTGGTGGTGGAGGTGGTGGAGGTGGTGGAGGTGGTGGAGGTGGTGGTGGAGGTGGAGGTGGTAGAGGTGGTGGAGGTGGTGGAGGTGGTGGTGGAGGTGGTGGAGGTGGTGGTGGTGGAGGTGGTGGAGGTGGTGGAGGTGGAGGTGGTGGTGGAGGTGGTGGAGGTGGTGGAGGTGGTGGAGGTGGTGGAGGTGGTGGTGGAGGTGGTGGAGGTGGTGGTGGAGGTGGTGGAGGTGGTGGAGGTGGTGGAGGTGGTGGAGGTGGTGGTGGAGGTGGTGGTGGAGGTGGTGGTGGAGGTGATGGAGGTGGTGGAGGTGGTGGAGGTGGTGGTGGTGGTGGTGGAGGTGGTGGTGGTGGTGGTGGTGGTGGAGGTGGTGGAGATGGTGGTGGAGGTGGTGGTGGTGGTAGTGGTGATGGTGGTGGAGGTGGTGGTGTGTGTCCGGCCCATAGTAGTAACTAGATTTTGCTTGGATTTCGTGTCAGAATGTCACTGGCCGTTTGAACAAGTGTCACAGAGAGAAGGCTGTTTACCACAAACACCAGCTCCACTCTCTGTTTCCATGACTGTTCCATGTCTGTCATGTGCTGGGTACCACTGCAGGGCTAGGGAGGACATCAGTGAGCAGAAGAGGGGTGAGTGCCACTCTCCTGTCACCCCATGAAAGAGCAATGACAAGGAGCACCCTGGTCCTCCACTTGCCCTGCAGGCTCTAGTCTGGCCTCCCGGGTCATCAGCTCTAACCCTGTGAAGCAGGCAAAGTCGCTCTAGTTGCATCTTGCACAGGAGGAGAGTGAGGGAGAGCCAAGGTGGTGGCAGGTCTCTCTGAACCCATTGCACCAGGCTGGACAACAGTATCTGACCTCAGCGATGTCACTTCTCTATAATTCCCATACTGCCCAGCAGGAGAGAGAGGCAGAGGGGAGGGATGGGGGGATGGATACCACCACGATCCCTTACTAGGACATCGATGGCATTGGTCTCACCCCTATGACCTGTTCAAACCTACATTCCTCCGCAAAGGACTTGTCTCCAGATAGTTTGCGGGGAGGGGCATAAATTAGGACATCAGCACAACTCATCCTAAATAAACACTAGCTAATTTCAGAATGTTTTTAACCTCCCTAAACAGAACCCTGGGCCCACTGAGCATTCGTTTTTCCATTCTGCCCATACCTGGCAACAAGCTATCTACTTTCTTTCCTTCTGGACGCGTCTGATCTGGATGGTTTACAGAGAATCACATAACTATCTAGTACATGCAGTATATGGCCCTTTCTGTCTGGCATTGTTCCCACAGCTCCAGGTTCACAGAACCATTTGTTTTCTTCAATGCTGGGGATTAAACCCAGGACTCTGGGCATGCTAGGCCCAGCGAGCTACATCTCCAGCCCTCACACCTATGGTTTCCTTTTTTTGGCCCAACCAGAACCCCAAGGACCTTGTGCAAGGTCAGACTGCGTGTGTGGAGTATCCTCCTGGGAGCATCCCCTGGCCAAGTAAGTACTGAACATCTGAAGTCCCAAACACTGCTAGGAACATTCCCCAGTCTGAGTCATCCCCAAGGGAATCCTCCAGTGTGGATACTAGACCCAGAGTTGTGGACAACACCCAATAAGCTTGAAAAATAACCAAGCATATGACTTCCCTCTTGGGGCGGGGGCAGGACTGCTGTCTCCCCACAGGCTTGCAGGAGGGCTTGAGGAGGCTAAGGTGAGCAAATGTGCTTTGTTATGTGGAGAGAACAGCAAGGATGCTACAGCTCCCAGGCCCGAGTAGCCTTAGGCCTTAGCACTTGACTTGAGGCCCAGACATGCTTCTGAGGGGATGCTGCTGCCATCTGCTGGCTGAATGGAAACCTGCACAAAGCGGCCAGGGCAGAGGTAGTAGGTGAGTACCAGCTGTCACAGACAGACATCATCAAGCTGACAGGACACTGGACCAAGGAATTCGTTACACAGACATTCAGAACGCTGGCACCAACAGACTTTTTGGGGTTGTTTTTCATAGTTTTTTTCCCAGCTTCATTTACACATCATAAAACTTGCACATGGCAAGTATTACAATGAGTGATTTCTAAAATAAAATTTTAATTTTGCAAGGGTGGCAAAGAGAGTTGTATAGGGGACCCCAAGTGTCTTGCCCCTGGCTGTGCTTCCACAGATGTTTATGACAGGGGTCAACATCAGTGACAAATTATGACAGGCTAAGGTCACTGTGTGATCACTTGGGAAAATGTCTAAATGCATTTGTATCGGAGGCAAGTGTCTGGAAGAAGGTGATCCCATGCATAAGAACAGTGCTATGGTGCTGGGGTGTTGGAGCAGCTCATAAGTACAGGGAATTGCAGGGGGTCTCACCAAGTAAATCCTAGCTACTGTTCTTTCATCGGACCTTTTTGTTATCTGTATGTGTGCAAGTGAATGCAGTGCCTGCGGAGGGCAGAGAGGGTATTGGATACCCCTGGGGCTAGAGTTACATACAGGTGATTTTGAGCATCCCAATGCAGAACTGAAATGAACTGGGGTCCTCTGTAAGAGCAGCAAGCACTCATATAACTCTAGAGTTCTGAGAAGTCCGGATAAGAGGTCTTGAGCAAAAAGACCTGTAGTCCGTAGTTGTGTTATCTAGAGAGTGGGCAAGGAAGAGGAGGGGAGAATCCAGGGCCTGGGCTCTGGGACACTTGATGATGGGATGTGGGTTGGAGTCAGCAAGGATGGATTCTGAGACTGAGCCACTCACCAGAGAAAGGAGTAGCCCTAGGAAGAAAGGTGGACATGCTGCTCAGGTCTACCTGAGTTGGGGATTGAGAATCCATTTGTGAGTTGCAATGGAGAGGTCACTGGTGACCTGAGGAAAAAACATTTCATGGAGTAATGGGACAAAGATCTAAATGACCAGGGCTCAAGGGAAAACCAGAGGATCAATCTAGGTGGCCATATTCCAATTTTTAAAAAAAAGCAGCTTTCTAAGTAAGTACTGAGTGTCTGAAGCACTGCTCAGAACATTCTCTAGGCTTACATCCCTGCAAGGAAACTAAAGGCCCGCACCAGTGACTCACCACATCCTGAGTGATGATGCGGGGAGATGTGTATGTGTGGGGGGGGGGAGCTGCAGCTGAACAGAGACAGTACCATGGACATGTCATCAGTCCCTCAGGCCTGAGGGACGGAGTAAACTCATGCCTAAGGAGCTCCATTAATGCTGGAAGCTGACCGGGACTTGCAAGCAGGGGCTAGACTTCAGGCCTGTAAAGGGCTCATCTCACTCTGAAACAAGCCAGCCAAGAGAAAGATCCTGGGTGGCCAAGAGTCAGCTATGACCTACCCAGAAGTGGCTGCCAGTATGGTCAACAGGTGTAGACACAGTGGGAGTTGAAAGTTCCTGTTTGCTTCTGTGTTCTCGGAACCATAGCAAGCAAGGACAGAGGTGTGATGAAGGGACAGGCCCAAGAGCCCAAGGAGCTGGAGGAGAGTGCCAGGAAGGGCAGCACATGATGGCTGTGAGACGGACAAGGGCTCAGTGGAAGTGTTGTCTAGAAACCAAAGGACCACTTCTCATAGCTGGGTACACAGAGGGCAGAGATGGATTGTCCCATCAGTGTGATGGATGGCCTGCTGAGGGAGTTGTGACATGAGGACTGTGGCATGTAGCCTGTAAGAGGGATCTGTAAGGATGAGATGAGGGATTACAGGACAATATGACCCATGGAGGCCAAGAGCTACTGGAATGAGAAGCTATCAAGGCAGTGGGAGATGGGAGGAAGGGGAAGGATGTAAGGGGCTGACATTCACCAGCAACCATCACACTCCATCCAAGTTCAACCCAGGCACACGTTTTATTCAAAGCACCCACACTTAGGCATGCCTGTGGACAGGCTGCTCAACCCTCATAAAGCTCTGGTTCTGTCTGCTGAGCCACCCTTGGGGAACCATGGTGTAGTGAGTGGCTAGGAAACCGGGAGGGGAACCTGATGTCACGCATGGCTGACAGTTCTCCGGGCCTGGTTATTCGCTGTGGCATCCTCCTGTCCTTGCCGGGTTCTCTCTGCAGGTACACTGCTTTTCTGAGTTAGAGCTGCTAGAGGGTGCTCTCAAAGACTCCAACAGGTAATCCACTGCGTGCTACAAGGCAGTCGTTCCCATGTTTGCTTGGACATCCCAGAGACAGTACCATGGACATGTCATCAGTCCCTCAGGCCTGAGGGACGGAGTAAACTCATGCCTAAGGAGCTCCATTAATGCTGGAAGCTGACCGGGACTTGCAAGCAGGGGCTAGACTTCAGGCCTGTAAAGGGCTCATCTCACTCTGAAACAAGCCAGCCAAGAGAAAGATCCTGGGTGGCCAAGAGTCAGCTATGACCTACCCAGAAGTGGCTGCCAGGAGCTGGGATGTTCAGGACTCTGAGGCCCCCACCCCAGGCTGGTGACATGACGGGACTCAGGGCTTAATATTTAAGTCTTACATTTAAGCCAATGACTTGGCTTAATATAGCCATGTCAGTGATATTTATGTCATTTCTGGGTGGTGCTGAGACTCAAACCCAGGGTCTTCTGCATTGATATGTATTTTTATAGTACTAAGGTCTTCAGATTAATAAAAATGCTTGAGAACTGGGCATGGTAACACATGCCTTTAATTCCAGCACTTGAGAGGCAGACACAAGTGGATCTCTGTGAGTTCTCTTTGGTTTACTTAGACAGTTTGAGGTTAGTCAGGAATACATGGTGAAACCCTGCATTAAAAAAATAGAGTAAAGTCCTGGGAAAAATTACAAAATATAAAACAGTATATAGAAAAGGAAGTTCATTTATTCAAATTATATTACAAGTTCATTATACAAATAGAATCTGTATAAATATTTAAAAATATAAGATGCTAAAAATTTCTCTTATAAAAATGTAAAAATAAAATCTGTATTTTTATGTATACACATGACATCTAACAGGACGAAAATGTACAGTGGCTGACGTAAGGTGCACTGCCACACTGATGTACATCAGCTGGTCCCATACCCTAGGGCCCAGGCTGCTGTGGAGACTTCCCCAAACCATCTGCCCCTGGGACCAGCAGGGGGCTAGCAACTCCTGGGTCCATCCATGGAGCTCCCAGCAGCCCCTGGGAGGGAAACCATCTAGCCATTCTCCAGAGCTGCAGGAGGCTGTCCTGGGCAGGGTGCCTCTCTCCAGTCTTATGCGACGGCACATCACTGCTCTAGCTCATGTTCATTCTGCAGGGTCTTCATTGCTAGCCCCCAGAGGGTCATACTAGAGAAAAACTGTCCCTCAGAGTTCCTGTAAGTCACTGAAGATGCCCGGCTGCCCAGCGGCTCGGTGCAGTGGTTGTCCAGCGTGGCCAAGGAAGAGCGGGTCACAGCCATGCCATCAGCCTGTGACTGCTCAGCATCTGCTGAGGCGTCCACATCTGAGTAAGCATAGGCATGCGGCTGGTTCTGCAGCTCCTGGGGCTTGGCCAGCTTGGCAGGATCCAGGCCCAGTTTGTCTTGGTCACTCATGCTAGGAGGGTGGAGCATGGAGCGTAACTTACAGTAGGAGCCAGTGCAGTGACCATCGAATGCTGCCACAGAACTCTCCACTGGGTGCCCAGGGAGTTTGACAGACACAGGCATCAGTGTGACGGACACATCCTGGGAGAAGGAGTCGGAGCTCTGAGACCTCTCCAGGTCAGAGGTCTCGATGGCCTGGCTCAGCTCACCCAGCACAGCTGGGCTCCTGGCATCGGCTCGGCCGTGCATCTTCTTGTGCCGACGCAGCACCGCGGAGCGCGTAAAGCACTTGCTGCAGATCTCACAGCTGTAAGGCTTTTCCCCGGTGTGAGTTCGGACGTGCCTGCGCAGGTCTCCTGAGCCCCCAAAGCACTTCCCTGAGGAGAGAACGGGGGACTTTAGAAATGGAAGGATGATCTCAGGGTAGTCCACGGCACCCTCACTTTGGATGAGGTCCCTTGCAGCTGGAGACTCAGCACAAGTCGTCTAGGGTCTGTCTCAGTGCTAGCCAGCGGCTGCTCCCTCATCTGCGGAAACCCAGCCCTCCTCAGCAGTGCTACTTCTGTGCTATGTCGCTGTCATTTGAGCCTGCAATGTCCCTTAATGCCACCAACTGATGATGCTGTTCGGGAGGATGTGGAGCTTTTGGAGATGGGGCCCAGCTGGGGAAGGTGAGTTATCAGGGCTGGACCTTTGAAGGAGACCTTCAGCCCACACTATCTTTCCTCCCTGGTTTCCGTCAGGAACAGTGGTGGTGGCAGCCCGTGGGAGTGACTGTTACTACAGCAGTGCACTGTGGCCAGCCTAGGAGCATCCCTTTCCTGATGTCTGTGCAGTCAGCGCGTACCAAAGATGTGCACACACTTGTCCTTCAGCCTGTCTCCCGTGAGAAGCCGGAACTCAGCAGGTAACTGCAAAGGCTCTAAAGTGTTGAGAACTCCCTCAAGGGAAACATCCTCACGCACACTGGACATACTGAGAACTTCGCACTGTACTGAATGTCTTTGATTTCAGCTACCTAGGCCTCGTTAAGCAACAAGTGCATGTGGGGTAGGGTGCAAGGAAGAATGCCTTTGAACAATCCAACTAGATCGGACTCTCCAAGCAAGAAAACTCTGACTTCCATATAAACCCGAACCAGCACCCACTAACAGCTCACTGCCTGTGACCCGCCCCATGTCTTACCCAGGTTCAGAATTTTCACATTATGTCAGGCATCGTCTCAGTTTTATGTGTTGTCCTGGTAATGTGTTTGCGGTAGTCAATGGTTGGCAGTTTCCTGGCTCCTCCTTTACTACTGTGTGTCCTAGCAGCTTCTGCTCCCTGCCATCTCTGGCCATAATGTAGACACTTTGCCTCTATTGCACTGTTAAGGTAACTCTCCCTGGAATTACTGGGAGGCTGGCACCACCATCTGTAGCGTCCCTAGTATGTATAAACTAGTCATATGGAGTTACTATGAAGAGGCGTGAAACCTGACTTCAGTTAGCAGGACAGTGGCGTTCACTAGATCTGTCAAAATAGAGAAGGGAAAGAAATCCTGGCTGCATTCCCAAGGTTCTGTGCTGCCAAATGCCAGCTGCAGTCCCAGGCCTCAGCAGAACCTAATCCAGGTGTGCTCTAAGCACCTCCTACACTGCTCGGAACAGAGCACTGTCAATTCCAGTCACCTGCTCATCACAGCTCCGTCAGCACTGTCAAGCCGACACACAGAACGGGTACATGGGCACACGCAGTCCTCAAGTGCCTTGGGGGTGCACGACTATCGATTCGACGCAGTGGTCGCAAACTACAGATACCAAGCTCTTGGTCTTCATCTGTGTGGCAAGGCACCTGAGATAGAAAGCTACCTGCTCTCCACTTCCATCAATGCCCTCGCTGAGGCCTGGACAGGCCCTTTGCTTTCTAATCTGTGACTCCAAGAAGCATGCCCTTTGCTCCCAAAGTGTGCTCCGTCACTCTATCCCTTCCCACTGGGACTGCCAGCTCTTGGTGGTGGGGCTTTGAATTGCTTTGTATTTGGAGCATTAAAGTCAGTTCCTGATACCTCAAAGACGCAGTGTCTGGTATGTGGTATCACTCCTGTGAGGAGGCAAAGGAAGGGCCGCTTTCCCTCAGTCTCTGAGAAAACAGTGGCTTAGGGCGGTCAACAGCAGAGTGGGCAACTCGGCCTTGCGGAGGAGGGGTGAGTTTGCTGGCTGGCCAGTGTCACACTCACCACAGGCAGGGCAGCTGTAGGGCCGCTCACCCGTGTGCCGCACACGGTGCTTCACCAGCTTCCTCTGCATGTTGAAGGACTTCCCACACTCATCACAGGTGAACACCTTGTCAGCTGTGTGCGTCTTCTTGTGCTCCTTCAAATTGCTGAAATTGCTGAACCCTAGACAGACCACAGCAGGGGTTAGGCTGACAGGCAGGAACCTGGAGCAGTGACCCTGAGAACATCGGGAGAACAACACTCGCTCACTCAGCAATACCTCGGCCGCATGTGTCACACAAGTGTGGCTTCTCTCCAGAGTGAATGATGATGTGGCGCTGGACATCACCAGAGGCCGCAAACCTGCAAGGAAGTGCAAAGTCCTATCAGGAGACTGGCGACACTGCTGAGACCCTGATAACTGGGACCATTCAGAGGAGAGAGACTCCTCCACCTGCTTGGTGTGGCCTGCTTGGTGTGTAAAACCATTTCTAGTGATGCCAGTGTTTTGATTTAAAGGCACTTCCTGCTTGCATCATCACTCTCTTCCCAGTTTCCAACAGTACAAGACCAGAAGGCCAGCAGTAAGTGAGAAGCCACAGTTCACCTTCTATTACCTTATGTATGGACACTGCAGCATGCACGTGGAGGTCAGAGACAACTGGGGGGGGGAGTTCTTCTTCTACCATATGGCTCCCAGAAACTCACTTGGGTCACCAGGCTTGGCTGCAAGCGCCTTTACTCTCTGAGCCATCTCACTGGCCAGTCTCCCAGTTCAGAGGAACATGAAGCCCTGTGGTGCTCACATCCTGCTGGATTACTGCACTTGTGAGAAACACTCCATGTGGTGTGCCAGCCCAAGGCTCACGTTGGAGAGCACAGGGTGACTCTGCATGGTCTTGGCAATGAAGCCAGCTCTGCTGAACCTAGTGTGAAATACAGACAGTCTGGCCCTCCTTCACCCATCCTAGAAAATGAGCTCGTTCACCTCTAGGCCACACTGGAGACCCACACACATCCATCCTAAGACAGAGGACAGAGCTGGAGACAGAGAAGGGACTAGTGTTCATGGAGCAGCTATGTTTGGTGTCTGACGATGGTGCCTTCCAGACGTGTCTCCACACTACAGGAGGCCCTGTCACCCCACCTTCGGGATGGGAAACACAGTGAGTGTGGAGATGCTCCTGAGCTTGGGCAGGCAACAAGGACCTCTCACCCATGATGTGGAGAGCTACACTCTTTCCTGGCTGCCCCCTGTGAAGGTGGGTAGGTTGTTCCAAGGAAGGTGAGCCATAGAAAAGATCTTACATGGAATTGCCAAGATCCTAATTTTCAACACTGCAAAATACACTCAGGAGCCCATGGGAAGTGGCAGCATGTGAAGCAGTTCTGTCTGGGCTGCTGGGCACCTGCCATGACCAGAGAATACCACCTAGAACTTGGCTTTATGTTCAGGTAGTTCCAACAGAGGGAGCTGTGGTCAGCACAGCAGTCTTTGCTTTGTTCCCTTTCCCAAGGCAGAGGCAGGCATGCTCCCCAAACCCACTGAGGCTTGATCTCCCCTCTGCTACGCTCCTAGGATTTTTAACCTTCCAGCCACTGCAAGGATGACTTGTGAAGAAGGGCAGAGAATCTGAGCTACTGACGTCTGTGCTCCCCTCACAGCACTGAGCAGATGGTGGGAGTAACTGGTGGCCGCTGGATGACTGAGTAACTAACGACACGATGGAATTCAGGCCCGGAGCAATGGGGATGCCTATGGCTTCCGAGGCTGCTGGTGGAGGCTGCAGATCTAGCACAGTGGCAGGATGGTGAAGGAAGATGCTCCGGGACTGTTACTGAGCAAGAGGATCGAGGGCTGAGGCTGTGGCCCGTGCACACAGGAGGGATGGACAAGCTCCTCGCTTACCCAGGCCCTGTGAAGGAATCACTGCACAGGTGTCAACCCACCAACATGGGCTGATTCCCTGTTGCCATGCCAACACTCCGATTTCAGGTCAAAGCTCACCTGCCAGGGCTGAGTGTCACTGACTCTGTCCTGAAGCCAGCAGCCTGGCTTGATAACACAGCTTCGGTACCCTCTGTCGCCTTATCTCTGGATGTCTAGTCACTCAGGCTGCAGGCACTGTTTCCCTGACTAGACAGTCTCCTCCTTGGGGATGTTTCTAGAATGAACATTTTGACGTAAACTAATCTGTTTCCTGTAAAGCCGACTTCCTTCCTGGGGCCCCAACCTAGATTTTCCTGCTCTCCATGAACTTTCCTTCTTCTTCTTCTCTCATGTGCCGCAGAGTGAATGTACTTGTGCTCTGCCATGGTTGTGTGAGCCCTGGTGGCCAGTGACGCGACACTGCAAAGACTTGGGCCACCCACAGTCCTTCACATGTGGCACCTCAAGCCCAGCACTGACCTCTTTCCACAGATTTCACAGATGTACGGCTTCTCCCCAGAGTGCCGGCGTAAGTGAGTCTGGAGGTTGCCTGCCTACAAGAGGACAAGAGACACACCAATAATGGAGAAGCAGAGAGTCACAGAAGTTCAAAGGGACCTGACAAACTTAGCTGATCCCACCACATCCAGTAAAGGGCAGACAGGAAGCTGTGTATAAAGTGAAGGGCAGCACCCCCCGCACAAGGAGCCCGCTGTGGCCTCACACTGGTGTCCACTCTGTGATGCCTCCCTTGTAAAAGGCTGGGCTACCCTGGGGAGGAATCTGGGTTTCCAGGCCTAATTTTAAGCAGACCTTGATACAGTTAATTTGGAACACCCACATGCAGGGTCATATGGAGAATTAAGCATTTGTGGGGCTTATTTCAGTGCTCATGACTTCTTTCTAAAACGAACGAATTTGTTCAAAAGAGCAAAAGATGTTTCCAGAAAGTGTGTCCTCTGGCAGGAAGGTTGGCTCTGCCTGGCCAGCTTTTCATTTTCACCTCTGTGCGCGAATGCATCTCGGGAGAAGCAGGGCCGCACTGCAGGATCTTTGCATCCCTACCTTGTGAAGCTAGCAGGGTTTTGCACCTAGACTTCCACACACTCAGTATGAAATCAGAAATTACCTAAAACAGTGAAAGCAGAGCTGCAAATGCTTCCCATGTTACAAATGCCCCCTGGAAATGTTCCAAATTAGGGCTGAGAGGCAAAGCCTTCCCTCACTACACCTGAACAGCTCAAGCGGTTAGTGTCCTCCTGCCAAAAAGGCCCACAGTGACAAACAAAGATGCCTAGGGGCCACACTGCAGTGCACAACAGAGCCCGAAGGGAGAATAAGCAACAGTTAGCTGACAAACTCACTCTACCTCTGCAAGCTGCCTTCAACAAAATGCGAAGACAGTTTGGGTTATAGCCGTCTGTGCGTCAAAGCTCACAGATACGGAAAGATGCTGTCTGTGGAATCTGATCGGGGAAGCCTCAATTAGGCACTACATTCAAGACTGCGATCAACACAGCTGAGGGAAAACTGCAACTTTCAATAACCAGAGGGATCTTGGCAGAACACTGGTAAACAACCTGCTTTATAGTGACTATTAATAACAAGACCATAGCGAATGCCAACAGCAAAATCCACATGATGAAATTCTAACTAGGTTTTTATATCCACTGGCAATTGGTATTCCTTTTTCTAACTAAAAAACTGAGACTTTGGTGATCAGAACAGTTGCCCAGGGCCATGGTTGGGCTGCTTAGTATTGGTCATGTGGGGTGCAAGTCTTCTCTGCTTTTGCAAATCACAAGAAACTGACATGTCCTGAACAGTCAACAAGGCAGCCACGCTGCCACCTGGGATACCTGTCCTCAGAGAGCTGGATTTCAAATATTAATTGCTTTAGTCAGCAACACCCACATTTCAGAAAACCAATGTCATACACCCACACAACAATCTGAATGGTACCACCTGCTCTACTGCCAGACAGAACCCTCTGTACACTCAAGGTACAGTAAATATGCATTGTGATGAAACACCGTTGGAGGGATTTATAGCAAGGATATCATTCCCCCACTCCTAGCAGTATTACTTATTTCAAAGCAAATGTAACCCAATGCTCTTCCAATGTACAGTATTGACAAGCAGTAGTTGATGAATGTGGTAATACAGGCCTGTAATTCCAGCACTCAGAAGACTACCATGAGTTTGAGGTAAACCAGGGATACTACCAAGTACCAGGGCAGTCAGGACTGCATAGGGAGACTGTCTCAAAAAGCCAAAGTAAAACAAACAACAAAAGAAAGCAACAGCAACAAAAACCTTAATGTGTCTTTACCATCTCACATGGAAATACATAATGAAAATCAGTATCTTTCCCACACACAGTAGCACACACCAGGGTGACAAACCGTACAAATAGATAAAATAGAACTGATAGAATGCTTTCCACAAAAACCCCACAACCAAGCTGTAGTGCATGTAGGCAATCTGTGCAGATGAGCCAGGAGCCCTGGCCCTACTGTTTTGGGCATCAATCCATACCTTCTATTTTTAGCAGACTGTAGCCACGCTATGGTATCTGAAGTGCACAGAGCATGTCTTAAAAACATCTGCAGTTGTGTTTGCAGAAACTGTGCCAAGCAGTGATGATAATGCTATGAACAGAGATCAGAGCTCTGCTCCGAGGCTGCACACAGTGCTGAACTCAAGGCTTATAGAGCTGCACTGCATTTCACAGAGTCAGCTGATGAGGCCTTGGGTCACAGACTGGGAGAGCTAATTCACCGGGGTTTTGATGTTGTTCTTCATTTCCTGAGACCTGGTCTCACTATGTAGCCCTGGCTAGCTTGGAATTCACTATGTAGACCAGGCTGTCCTTGAACTCACAGAGATATGCCTACCTCTGCCTCCTGAGTGCTGAGATCAAAGGCATGCATGACCACATTTGGCCTAATTCAGGTTTATCTGCTGATTTCAAAGCCTGTGCTAATAAAACTCTGCTGAAGATATTAGCAAAAAAGAATCTTGTTTCCAATAACTTTTAAGTTAAGATAAAGTATTTAAGAGAAAAATCCCACCAGAAAAAAAGAAGTAAAATCTGGTCCTATGAGGTGGCTCAGCAGCTAAAGGCACTTGCCTCCAAGCCTGATGTACTGAATTTAATCGCCAGGACCCACATTCATGGTGCAAAGAGAGAACTGACTCCTGAGAGCTGTCTTCTGACTTCCATACATACACTGTGGTACAAGTGCCCCCAGTAAATAAATACATAAATACGAAGTACCTGTAAAAGTACCATCTGAGTTGAATCACTCTTATAATAAACTTTCTGATGTGGACTCAAACCTCAGTATTCACTCATAAAGAAACTTGGCCTCCCTTTCCTGTAGATGGCAGCTGAGTAAGAAGGGGGGCCTCCCAATCTCAAAGACAGAAGGCATCACAGACATTAGTCATCTAGTTGAGTTCCAAGTCTTTAGGATTTCAGAGAATAGTAAAATTTAAGACACTAAGGATAAACACACACTTCCCCTGTTAATGTTATGAAATGATGTGACTAGATCCACCGAAGCCTGGCAATCAATCACCTGAGGCCCAGGTTAGCACTTGGGGACATGGTCAGGGTATTCTTGCTTCTTGCACTTTCACCAAGGATGAGGTGTGTGGTTGCCCTGCTGTTAGCTCAGCACTGAGGACCCTGCCTCTGAATTTCCCCAGGGGGCTTCCTTGGTGTACTGCATGCAACAAGGAAAGCCACCCTCTAGACAGCCCTACCAGAAAACATGGTCTCTCTCCCAAGACTGCCCTCTGCCTCGTACCAGCTGACCAAAGCCTCTCTTTTTGCCTCCCTGGAGAGAAAGGACAGCTCTGCTCTTCTCCAAAGACAGCTGACTCACCAGCTTTCCCTTTCCCCCACTGTCCTGGATGTACTGGTGTCCTTGTGCACAAAGGAAGCACAGTACACAAGACACGGCCATACTATAAGAGAATATGATGCTATAAACAGCTGAGTGCATCACCACCACAACCCAAGATGATGCTGGCTGACGTGCCACAGTGCCAGCCACCTCATTAGGAAAGCTGTGGTTAAGTGCAGACAGACTAACTCTTCTAGACAGCCAACCCTTAGAAAACAGGACTGGAGATTCTAACTGGTAAATGTTTTCGAACTTTCAAATCCTCCAAAGAAAAGGCCCTTAACACTACAGCACACTCTGGCAGACCAGGAGGGGCATTCCAATCCACTGTGACCACCACTGCTTGTGGGCAGAAGTTTCTGTTTATGGGCCAGCTGCATGCTACCTGATGGCAGATTGGACCCCAGAGTTGGTGGGGTAAGTATGACTATCCTGGGTACCTCTGCCATGTTGAAAAGTGAAGTCAGCAGCCAGGGCTGCCTCTTCAATCTCAGCCACAAAGCTTAGCAGTTTAAAATCTCTCCTGGTCAGGGAAGGATTATAGATTCATAATAAGACAGATTCAGATGGAATAAAACTCTAAGTGGTTTACAATATGTGTAAAAATGTACATAGGCTTGGAAGAGAAAGGAAAAGGAGGATAAACAGTTATATAAGGGAATAGATAGTTTTAAAAAATCAAGTCTTTAAAGAGACAATAAAAGTAATATAATAAGCCATGTAAAGATGGAAATCACACAGAGTCTGGATTATATTGTCTTTGGGATTTTTAACTACAGAAAGACATTTGATTGTAAAGGCTTCTGAATGAAGTCAATGTGTATATCTTAAAGGTATCTTGACTTCAAAATTTATGTCTAAGGATACATTGCTTTGGAAAAGAGGTTCTGCTTTTGTTTCCACAGAAGATGAGAACTTATGGATTGTTTCCAAGTTAATATGGTTTGATCAAGGAAGATCCCGAGAGGTCTCCAGATGTTCCAACATCCAGAACAGCTTCAAGGCAACTGGCTGAGACAATGCAGCCTCACAGATTACTCCAGACCATAATTCTTAATTTTCTCAGGATCCCCATAAGATTGCCAGTACCCCCAACCAGCAGGAAGTAATATGAGAAGCTATGCTCAAATTCCCAAAATTTGTTATAAATGTTTATTTTTATTTAAAAGGGGTTGATTATAAATACAATCTTTTTCTAAAAAAGAAAAGGGGATAATATAGATAAGATAGGATAAAAGGGTAGATTATTGAATCTACTTTTAAAGAGCAACAACTTGTTTAAAATGTTTTACATTGCTATGGATTTTAGTTTATTGATACAAATTTAAAGTTAATTTTGTTATACTGTATGTATATTTCTACTCTTGTTTAAGGTATTATATTTGCACAGCTCATTTGAAAATGTAATATATAAGAAATATTGATTAATAGTCATCTATAATCGCAAACTTATAGTCATGTTAGTTAAGTTTTCTAGGTATACACAGATATATTTCAATTAGGTAGGTAATCTTCAAACACTTCAAAGATCTACAGAATATGGCATTTAAAATGTTTTAATAAAGCCGGGCAGCAGTGGCGTATGCCTTTAATCCCAGCTCGGGAGGCAGAGCCAGGCAGATCTCTGTGAGTTTGAGGCCAGACTGGTCTATAGAGTGAGATCCAGGACAGGAATCAAAACAACACAGAGAAACCCTGTCTCAAAAAACCAAAAAAAAAAAAAAAAAAAAAAAAAAGTTTGAATAATATAGTTTTTTTTTTTACGATAATGAGACATGTCTGCTCCTGGTAGCACCACTCTACTCCAGGGAAGATGACAGTCATTGAAGAAACTCCTTATGGAGTTTACTTTCTTTATGGCAAAAGTTAGCCATTGGGCAAGAAAATACCCTTGCCTCAACTGCTGACAGTATGCTGTCCAAAATGGACAAGCAGGACACAAAAGAAAGGACTGCTGATCCTTGCCAAGACAAGATAGGAAAGCTCTTTAGAAAATCCTGTTTCACAGATGAGTCTGTCAGATATGCTAGGCCTGTGGGCCAAGGATGGATGCCCCAACATTGCAGAGAAACTTGGGGGGCCAGTCAGACTGCCAGCTGTCTCTGTAATTCTCGATTTTTGGAAGTTGCTTACAATGCTCTTCTTGTTTACTTAGGTAATATTATATCCTTCTGAGGTCTTTGATGTAGTTGAAGTCTAAAAGTTATAATTATAATTTTCCTTGATTATGATAAAAGATAAATTAGATATGAAACCTTAGACTCACAAATATAGGATAAAATATTTTCTTTAATTTTGCCAAATACAAATAGACTAGATATTGTAACTATAATTCTTGTTTGATAACTGTTATATATAATCATCTTACTATATTAAAGCTAAAACCTTCCTTTTGATTAGATAGAAAAGGGGAAATGCTGGGGGACGTCTTTCTGTATGCTGTGAATATATGTTCTTCCCATTGGTTAATTGGTTAAAATGATTTGGCCTATGGCAGGGCAGCTTAGAGACAGGCAGGAAATCTAAGAGAGAAAAGAAGGAGAAAGGTGGAGTCTGGGGAGAAGCTGGGAGCTGCTGCCAGGAGAAGCAAGATGTAAAAGTACTGGTAAGCCATGAAGCCACATGGCAATGCATAGATTAATAGAAATGGGTTAAGATCTAAGAGCTAGCTAGCAAGAAGCCTGAGCCATAGGCCATCCAGTTTGTAAATAATATAAGCCTGTGTGTGTTTACTTGGGACCAAGTGACTGCAGGACATGGGAGGGAGAGATTCGTCCTGACCACAGGGCCGGGCAGGACCAGAGAAACCCTCTGGCTACAACTGTTCACTCCAGTTATTCCCAGATGAATGTATAGCAGAAATGGGGGGTAGAGTGTCATCTCCTAGGTATCTCCATGCAACAGCACCCTGCCCTCCACCCCCAGAGTCCTAGCTGTTTCCAAGGCTCATCCAAGGGCAGTCAAGTGCTGCCCTTAGGTTGCTCCAAATGCCATGCCTGTTGGGTGGCCATGACTGCTCTCTTCTCTGTCTGCACTGTTCCTGTATGTAGTCTAGCATAGCATGTCCCAAGTCTCCTTGTCCTTGACCATCCACACAGTTATTTCTCCCTCTGAAGAATAAGCTCCTCAGAGCCTTACTCTTGTCTGTTCCATCCCAGCATGTGGCAGAGCTAAAGGCATCTTAGTAACATACAACTCTTGCTGAATTAGGTTTTTAAAACAGTCCTTTTTCAAAATAACTTCATCACCTTGCTATGAAAATAAAACAGCAAGATCCATCTGAAAACCACAGCTACAGACAGCTCTGCATTCATAAAAACCTAACAGACGGATACACCAACCCAGAAGAAAGGGGTATTCCAGATAGCCACCCTGGGTATAATGCAGAGGGAGGGCACAAATCAAGGTCTAAAGCATGGTTCTTAAGCTTGGCTACACACCAAAATCACTGTTCAAAAAGATAAGAGATCCACTCAAAGCAGGAACTGGGCATTTCTGAGGGACGGCATGGCAGTAGTGTGGGGTGGGTGGGGGAAGGGAGGCTGATAGAGATCCTGAATGTGCAGTCGTATTCTAGTTACCAAGTGGAGCCCCAGAAGGGCTCTGAGCAGGAAGAGGAACTCAGACACTACACATGAAAGGTTCTTAATCCTCCCAACAGCTCCACAAGATAGTGTTGTAAGAATGAGAATGAGGCCCAGAGAAGTATGGTGACTACTTATTATCAATGGTCATAAACAGTTTTACACTTTACTTTTCTTCATTTTTACTTATCTTGCTGGGTGGGGAGGAACAGGAAAAAGCCACATGTGAGGACTAGAGGACAATTTGCAGTGGCTGGTTCTTTCCTTTCACTGTGTGGACCCCGAGCATTGGAATCAGTTTGTCAGGCTGCGCAGCAACACTCCTATTTTCTAAGTATCTTACTGGCCCCAGTGCCAGGCAGCTAGGATGAAAAACAGATCAAGACACTATCTCACCCAAGATCACAGGACAGTAAATCTGACAGAGGCAGATTCAAATCCAGACCCTTAAGCTTCAGAGGTCAAGCTCTGCACTCCAGGCACCCAGGTGAAAGGCAGTGAAAGTCTCCCCAGGAATGGTGATAGAGGGATGCACACTCAACACCTGTCCAGAGCTAGGGGCTGGCTCCTGATGATACTGAGACATGATGCTGTCCCACAGTCATCATTCTGGGAAGACAGGGCCAACCGTGGGAAGATGCAGGGAGTCACCGAGAGTAAGAGTGAACTGAGCAGACTAGCTGGTGCCAGTGCGTGGCAAGATGCAACTGACACCCTCAATGGGCTCTGAATAAACCATGGAGGGTGCGTAACAAAATGGCACTCACTGTTTCCACGGACCGTGGGCCTTCTTTCCCAATCCCTGCCATCACGGTCTCTAGCTCTATAGGACCAGCCCAAAGCAATTTCCAGCCTGAGCAAAATTTCACACAGCACCAATACGGAGCTACTGCACTGAGCAGGACAGCAATGCTGGCTGTTCACCCTGCACAGTCCTACTCTGGAAGTCTGGGACCCTGAACGTGACCATGAACAGAGGGACACTCTATTTCAGAGGGAACGGCAGCTGCTTAGAGCCAGGCTATGATACTGGACACTTTATGTAGAGGTGTTTGAGTCTGAGCCCAACACAGTACTTGCCACAGCAAGGCACAATAAATGTGAGACAACTCCACCATGTCCAAATGACCTTCCTGGAGGTCAGATCAAAGGCTGCAGTCAAAGTAGGGAATGAAAATGCCTTGGTCTATTCTTGTCCAATATCCTGCCTACAGTCGCAGTGAGAGTGACTATTGGTCTTGGACCTAACCCAGCATGCAGTGCGGCTCCAGGGAAGCTCGGTGTGGACCGCTGGGAACTTCAAGAGACACCAGGGCAGGACCCATCCTCAGTGCAGAAAAGGAAAAGGGGCTTTGACGGCTCTCACAGCAGTAGACCTTCTAATGTGCTAGAAATGCGTGTTCTGACCCAGCCCTAAGTCTTGTGCAACTACCACCACAGGTTTCTCTCCCATGGACAAAAGTGAGTCTCACTGGTAATAAAATACGCAATGGAGTTTAGGCTTCCAATTATCAACATTAAAAAGAGTATTCCCACCTGAGAGAAGTGTTTCCCACAAATGTTACATTCAAAAGGTTTCTCACCTAAAACAAAGCAAAACACAACAATTTGTCATCAGTACAAGAATTTTCACATTCCTTTTTGTTAAAATATTTGATCCCCTGCGTCTTTCCTTTCCAAGCTGCCCATTCCATTCTTCTGTGTTTTGTTTTGGAACAAAGTCTCCCTCTGCAGTTCAGGCTGACCTGAAACTCTCAACAATTCCTGCTTCAGCCTCCTGAATGCTGGAATAGCATATGAGAGGCACCACACCAGCCCATGACAGTCTTTATCCCCAAAGTGGGCACAGGGCATCTCTACTTCCAAATACTTATCTCTTACCCCAAGACTCTCCGGAAAGATGATAAAATCAAATCTATCTTGTGGTGGTATTGTGTTCCCCAAAATACTGTGTACCTTAATAAACTTATCTGGGGTCAGAGAACAGAGAAGCCACAAGATACTTAGGCTAGAAAATGTTAGCACACGCCTTTAATCCTAGCATTCCAGAGACAGAAATCCCTCTGGATCTCTGTGAGTTCAAGGCCGCATTGGAATCAGCCAGGCATGGTGATTCATGCCTTTAATCCCAGAAAGCAGCCTTTAATCCCAGGGAGTGGTGGTAGAAAGCAGAAAGGTTTATAAAGCGTGAGGACCAGAAACTAGAAGCATTTGGCTGGTTAAGCATTTTGGCTGGTTAAGCTTTCAGGCTTTGGAGCAACACAGTTCAGCTGAGATTCATTCTGGATGAGGACTCAGAGGCTTCCAGTCTGAGGAAACAGGACCAGCTGAGGAATTGGCAAGGTGAGATAGCTGTGGCTTGTTCTGTCTCTCTGATCTACCAGCATTGACCCCAATAACTGGCCTCGGGTTTGATTTTATTAATAAGACTCTCTAAGATTCCTGCTATACTATTTACCTTCATCTAAAAGTCAAACTGTTCTCCAAATACAAACCTATGGTGAAATAAAAAGACCGCCTATTTTTTTCTTCAGCACAAAACCAAATGGGACATTTCTCTACTTGACCTCTGACTCCAAACAGAGTGCACAGTCCCTTCATACCATGGGGGCTGTGGACACTGGGGCCCAAAGGGTGAGGCACAGGTGGGCTGAGGAGCAGCCCTCTGCACTGGCTCCCTGCCTTAGCTGAGACTGGGCCTTCACAGCACAGAGGTGTGGTCTGCTGTCTTCTCCACTGAGCACAGTAACTAAAGCACTGCAGTCTGGGACAGAATAGACTGGAGCCGCAGCTGTTCTGCACAGAGGTCTGCTGGAAGGTGTACTTTAAGGTGCCGGCTTTAGTCTGCATGGGCCTTTGAACCCCCAAGAAACTCCACTTCCCTACTCCCCTCAATTCAAGTGGTTACATTAAGACGCTCTTAAAAGTAACACCACTGTTCTTCTATATACAGGGCCTGTGGCCTCGGCAATACCAGCTTGCAGCTTTCTGGGTTTGCACTAAGCTAGTCTTCAGCCCTGGATGACTGTCACCATGTAAGCCTGTGTTTTGCCTTCTTTCTGTAATTACTGGGGTAACAGATAATGTTAAGTTCAGCCCCCAAAAGAGAGATGAGTTGTTTTTGTTTTTTAAAAAAGATAACTCATGGGTCATAAAAGACCAAGGTTTTAACAATCATACTCCAATAGGTCTTGGAAGCTCTTTTCACTGTTAAAAATTGAGGCTTTACAGAGCTTTTGGTCCTATGGGCTGTGGCTATCAACATATACACATCAGAAATAAAACAGAAGGCATTCTGAAGACAGAGAAACACAAGTTTTACTGGCTACCAGTAGGACATCATCACACACCATGTGGCCTTTGGCAGCTTCCACAGCACACCTCGAGGAAGGAAGTAGCATCTGCACCATTCTGAAACAGCTCTGGCCTCATAGATCCCTGGTATCCGGGTCACGCTCTGCTACCATCTCAATGCAGCACTTATGTCCGAGGAAGTGTCTCTGCCCTATGACTATCTGTCACTCACAGATGTTCTCCAGAATTAGCAATTTAATTTTTCTCCTTAAAGCTATAACAGTTAAGTTTTTAAAAGAAAAATGAAATAAAACCGATAGTATTCCTCAGGCTGTAGAAAATTAAGCTAACAAAATGATTTAAGTCAAGTTGTTTTCATAGCAAGACTGAGTGAGGGTTGTCTTTACCTGGTCTCATTTTGAACCACTAGTAATGAAATAATGACAGTCTTTACATTTGAATACACTGACATCTATAAAGGACTTTTACAAATAGTGAAAGTGTCTCCACTGATGCATTGAGGTGGAAATCACCTGAGCAAACCAGAAGTCCGAAGTGCCAAGAGAAGAGCATGCCAAGGAAGACAGCTGGCAGCATGCCAACAGGGCAATCTGGAAGCATGCTGCTGTGTGTCACTGCTCATGGCTATGCCTTATTTTGGGGGGTGGGGGGAGGTGGTTCGAGATAGGGTCGCACTCTGTAGCTCTAGCTTTCCTGGAACTATGTAGACCAGGCTGGCCCCAAACTCACAATAGATCTGCCTGCCTCTGCCTCCTGAGTGCTGGGATTAAAGGTGTGCACCATTACACTCAGCTCATGGTTATACCTTAACTGTTACTAATTCATGATGCACTAATAATTCTATCACAGTTAACCAGGGGAGAGCAAGGTACAAGTATTGCACAGTGTATTATACAGATGTGTATCATATATTAGAAGTTCAAAGTCTAAGGTGGAAGAATTTTCATTTGAAAATATCAGATACAGAGTGGGGCTGGTGGGGGACACAGCTCAGTGGTAGAGCAGTTGTCCAGCATGTGCAAGGTCAATCCTTGTACCACTAAAACAAAAACAAACAAACAAACAAAATCAAATTGTTAAAGTTGATTCTTATTTAAGAGTTTACCTCCTGCCTCCAAAATCCTAACTTTTCAAATTAAAATTACTTCTGAGAGAAGTTTAAGAATGATTCAGTACAATTTGTTACAGTTTACTATCAGTCTACATTCCACTGAGAAAATAAGCAGAACACCCTAGAGACAACTAAGCACCGTGTGTCTGAGTTAGTTAGAAATGTGAGTGCGTCCGAGCACCTGACTGTTGAGCTAGACAGTCGGAACTGCTCATGAAAGGATGCCAACTCTTCACAGCAACTTGACGACACCTACACAGAACATACGCACAGATCACCAAGAAGCGCAGCGGAGGGCAGCTAGCACCCCGGAGCCTCGTTACAGACATCAGTGGCTCCACTGAGGAGTCAAGTGTCTTACAGATAAGGCCAGCAGAGGGTGGGGTGGCGCTGCTTCCTTCTCCATGCCTGGGCTCAGGGCAGTGTACCTGTATGGGACCGTTTGTGCAGCTCCAGATTGCTCGGGTGTTTAAAAGGCTTCCCACACAATTCACATGCGTACTGCTTCTGGGACTGGAGGCCCTGGGATGGGTCTTCCCATGTGGCCGGGGCTCCCGGAATCTCCACCTCATGGCTGCTCTCTGGACCCAGTTCTTCCCTCCCCTTTTCTTCAGGAGTCGGGCTTCTGGCTCTCTCGGCCCCATCTTCCTTAGCAGCAGATTCCTCCCTCCTGACCAACCTAGTATCTGGTTCAGACGCACTCACAACAGCCGACTGCTGTGACTTGAGAAAGTTTAGTTTCTTCAGGTGCATGGCCTTCTTCAGCCTCATCTGCTTGGCAGGTGGCTGAGAAAGGGGGTCTGCCTCCGAGTCCATGCCAGAGTTCCTGAGGGGTGGAGCCAGGAAGGTGGAAGGCAATTGCTCTGAAGACTCCAGGACACCTGCACGGCCCTCCACGGAAGGCTGTGAGTCTGCTGCAGCAACATCTGTGGAGGTCCCGAGAGTGAGTGGCTGTTCTGTGGCAGGCGCCTGGCTGGGGCAGGCCGTTTGCTTGTAGTACTGCTTGCTGTACAAAGTTCTGAGTTTGTAATAGTAGTTGGGCTGCTTGCAGGGCAGCTCTGGGCAGCTGCCACCTGCAGCATCCGGGGCTGGTTTGGAGACTTCTCCTGTGGGACCACTGAAACCTGCTGATGGAGCATGAGGACTCAGTTCAGGCAGAACTTTAGCAGGCGGGCCTTCCGCAGGGCACTCCTGCAGTGAGTGGGGTGGGCAGTGCTCATTTACCGTACAGGGACCATCCAGAGTCACACTCTGCAGGGAGAAGGCACCAGCACAGGACAAGCCTGGCAGCTGTGCTGCAGAGGCCGACTTCAGAAACGTGTGGCACAGATTCAGAACATTCTGTACTTGCAAACACTGCGCTGTGTCCAGCATCACTTGAATGTTGTCCTGATTGAGGTCAAGGTGCGACGTGTACATGAAGTCCAGGATCTGCCCTATGCCGCTCACATTTTTAACATCCAGGTGAAAAACGTCATTCTTCTGGCTGGAAGAATTCTGAAAAAGGCTCCTGACAAAAGAAAGAAGGTTAGTTATTTTCACATTCTGTTAACATTTTCTTTTAAAGTTCATACATATACAAAATATCTATGAATGCTAAGATGTTGTCACAGTATTTTTTTCCTTTGTTTTTAGAGACAGGGTTTCTCTGTGTAGACCAGGCTAGTCTTGAACTCAGAGACCTGCCTGCCTCTACCTCCTGAGTGCTGATATTAGAGGTGTGTGCCACCACCACCTGGCTATCACAAGTTTAATGTTTTTATTTTTAAAGTTATTTCACTTTTATTCCTTTTTTTAGTTTTTTGAGTTAGTGTGTATATTCAAGTGTATATAATATGTGTGTGTATGCACATGTGGAGGCCAGAGGTCAACCTTGGATGCTGTTCCTCAGGCACCATCACTCTGTTTTAAGAGAATGTAGTCTTTAACTGGCCCAGATCTTGCAAAGAAGGCTATGTTGGCTGCCCAGTGAACCCCAGGGATTCACCTGTCTCTGTCTCCCCAGCTCTGAAATTATAAGAATGCACCACCATACCTGGATTTTTCATGTGGGTTCTGGGATCAAATTCAGGTCCTCATGCAAACACTCTATGGAACATGATCTACACTGCTTGAAGTATAATTAACCACATGCACCAATTAGACAGAGTACAGAAAAAAAAAAAAGGACATTACGTACTTCCGTGTTTTGTATGTTTAGTCTGACACAATACAGTCCACACCATATAACACACAAATAAGCATTTATACACCTATATGCCTGAAACCCTTCTAAAGATAAAGATAAAGGTAAAGGTAATAACCAACCCTCAGTAGGTACTCACTATGTAACCTATAATTTGGCTGCTAAGGTATTTTGTCTTGGTTAGGTTTTTGCTTTGTTGAAACAGGTTCTTACTATGTAGACTTAGCTGGCTGGAGACTTGCCATGTAGACTAGGCTGGCCTAGAACTCACAGAGACTCACCTGCCTCTACTTTCCCAGTGCTTGGTGTGCCACCATGTCCTTCTGGCTGCTAACTTTTGCAGAGACTCAATGGTCCATAAACCAACAGAAAGAAATGCACCTTGACTTGGAGAAGGAAAAGGCCTATGAGGCCCGGCTCCTTGTTCCAGCTGGGTGGAGTGCATAAGAGAGGGAATGGTGTGGGACACAACTTCAGAAGATGACTCGGGTAAACTGTCTCACAAACCCGCTGCAGACACTTTGTCCAGTCACCTGTTTCCCAACAGCATTTGCTTTTTATGCTAGCTACAACAACCAACACAGGACACCTGCAAGAGCTAAGTGTCCTGGAAGACAGAGAAACCCAGGACAGCAGAGCCCGAGGGTCTGGGACTCCCTACCTTCCCGAACGGAGTCCTTAGAGTGTGTAACAGTAACACAGTCCTTACAGTGCACACAAGAGCCAAGGCTAAATGCCACGATGCAGGGTTATCAGGGCAAGAGGAGGTCCCTTTCCACACACTGCTGACCCGAGCAGGTGAATGTGCACCAAAGAGGAGCATGGTGTCTAAAGAGAGACTTGCTAGCCAGAATTCACTTCTAAAGAACAGGTAATTGTACGAAGGTTAGTGACATGAAACACAACTGCTTGGTGTTAGTCAGCATATATAAGTAAATCACACAAGTCCAAAATAATGGCGGGGATAACTAAGTTGAAGCTGAACTAAGGATTTTCTTACAGCGTTCAAATGAGAGACAAAAACTGAACCGCTTTAATATAGGAAGGAAGGGAGGTAGATAGGTAGGAAGGGACCCACGAAGGGGGAAAAGCATGCAGAACACTTGCTCTCTGCTGATTTCTTTCTCTCTCTCCAGACAGAATCACCCCTATGAGCCCGGGCTGGGCTGGAACTTTCTATCCTCTTGCTATGGCCTCCAGGGGCTGGGACGGCAGATGTGCACAAGACAGCCAGCATTCTCCACTCTAATTTCTTATCGCAGCAAAATTCCTATCGCAGATTCAATTCCTCAATCATTTTATTCAGAAAAAGTGAAAATAAAAAAGAGCGAATACTGAAATTAATTCTTCTCAGTCATCCCCAATATACTCTAGAGTCTCTTTTCCTTTCAGGTTACTCTAAACAGAGTGATAGTATTTAAAGAAATAAGAAAACCCATAAATTCTTATTTTGTTTAAACTCCAAAGAGAAAGACAGAAAAATCCCTGAGAAAAGTGAAATGTGGCCACTGTACTTTCCTGACAGGTTCCCCAGGCAGTGGAGGACACAGTGTGAGGTACTCACCTGAAGTACTGGCTGAAGGCTGCCAGCACGTTCTTGTGTGCTTTGAAGCAGACTCCCCTCACCACCAGCATGCAGTCACAAAGCAGGCCTTGGATCCGCTGCTCTCGCAGTTGCTGGAGGAGGTGGCAGCTGTGAATAGCAACAGGGTCCATACTAGACCATGAGACCTACAGCAGAGAATGTAGGTGAGAGCCTCTCAAGAACACCATTGGGATAAAAGGGACCCCAAAAGCACAAACTGCTCTTGGCTTTCATCGTGGCGCATCAAAGTCACAGCTTAAAACACACACCTACCCACTGGACTGCAGCATCTAGCTCAGAGCTGTTCAGCCCACCTCTCTGCAACATGGAAATGTCTCCTCTTACTGATCCATTATGGAAGCCATTAGCTATGTGAAACCCAAAGCACCTGAGTCTGCTAACCTAGAAGGCGGCTGTGATAAGAGTGTATGCATTTCTTTTATGGCCAACTATGAATATGCCAAATTAAAAATAAAAAATACACATACACAAACAAGCATAAAGGAAAAAAAGCCAATCAGCTAAGATCAAACCCATACTTATTAAACACTTTGTGATAATTAATCTTGACCTTTAACTTGATGGGACTGAGAATCCTGGAGATGCACCCCTGTTGGTGTCTGAGGGCACTTCCAGAAAGGCTTAAATGAGCAGGGAAGACCCATCCTGAATGTGTGTGACACCATCCTATAGGCTGGGGTCCCAGGCTGAATAAAAGAGAGAAAGCAGTCAAGCAGCAGCATGCATCTGCCTGCTCCCTGGCTGCAGAGGTAATGTGACCAACTGCTTCTCGCTCCTGCCACCAAGCCTTCCCTCCATGACGGACTGCATCCTCAGACTATGAGCCAAAATAAACCCTTCCTTAAGTTGCTAGTGTCGGCTATTTTGTTATAGCAACAATACACACCTATACATAGGTCAGTGAATTCAAAGATGGAGAAGATCAGGAACCTATCTGGGGAGGTAAGATACAAGTTAAAATAACTACCATCACCAGACAGAGAGCAAAGCAGTATCACAGAGCACCACATCCGCTTAGATGTGCCTCTGTGCCTCTCACAGACATAGAGGAAGCAAGAGAATGGGATATGCAGGTTACTGGGGTCTGTGACCAGCTGGTGTGGGGACCTCCAGGGCAGGAACTTGCCGGGCTTCAGAGTATGGCTGCATAGTAGATGGCATACCAGAGAGGCAGAGGACAGACGACACTGAGCTTCATGCCTTATGACAACTGACTCTGATTGGGAAGGAGACAGAAAATCTGGTCATTCCCCATCTACCTACTGAGTGACTACTGTGTACTATATTCTGGGGCAATAACAGTGAGTAGAGCACAGCAGGTGTCCTGGAAGTTTCAGTTCTAGTGAGGGCAGTGCACAGCTAATGGAACAATTACGGCTAGACATGGGGGCATGCAGCTGAAATCAGGTGCAGCCTCTGGCATCCAAACACAGGGGGAGGAACAGGAGGATACTGAGGATCCAAATGGCAATCTGGTGCACTAAACTGTAGAGGACAAAATGGCCTGGTGCCCACAGTTAAGCACTGGAGAAGCCAGGAAGGTTAAACACACAGCTTACCTCTTCAATGGAATGAGGTGCTTAGTTGTTTTCCTGGAACTCTAGGAGGAAATGTAGTTTACAACCTAGTAACCTGTTGCTACCTGTTGAACCAGGCCCTGACCATATCTTCCAGAATTTATGTTTTACTTATCCCAGACCCTTTCCCCTTAAAACTTTGAGCATTACTTCTAGGCCATAAAACTCATCCTTGTGAGAGATGTCATTTGTACAACAGCCTAAGTGACTTCTATGACTCTTAGGGCCAGGCCAGTCCTGACACCCACAGGCATTATGTTTACCTCAGTCAATCTCCCTAGACCCTAAATCTTGGGCACTATCTCTGAGTTACTCTCTGTATCCATCTTTGTGAAAGAAGCCAGATGTACTTTGTAAAAAATTTCAATGTGCCAGTCGGTGGTGGCGCATGCCTTTAATCCCAGCACTCAAGAGACAGAGGCAGGCGGATCTCTGTGAGTTCAAGGGAAACCCCATCTCAAAATATATATATATATATATATATATATATATATATATTTAAAAAAAAGAATCTCAATATAAACATGCCTTAAATTAGTTGTGCACTTGGAACTGAGTTAATTTATTATCAGAAAACTTTTTTTCCCCCAAAATTGTGCTGTACTTAAATACAGTTAAAGTAAAATGATCTGGATCAGACTCTAGAAGTCCTGGCCCAGGACCGGCTACAAAAACCAGGCTGCTCCGAGCTTTGTTCTTCCCTCACCCTTGGTGTGGAATAATCTTTCTGCACACTGTGAAGATGTGTCTTTGCCAAGGTGTCTTCTGATTAGTTTAATAAAGAGCAGAATGCCAATAGCTAGGCAGGAAGAGTTTAGGCGGGACTTCAGAGAGCTCTGGGAAGAAGAAAGGTGTAGAAGAAGCAGGACATGCAAGAGGAGAGGTAAAAGTCACGAACCACGTGACAGCACGTAGATTAAATAGAAATGGGTTAATTTAAGTTATAAAAGCTAATTAGAAACAAGCCTAAGCTAAGGCGAAGCTTGTAGATGTAACCAACCGTCTTATTAAATAAGAAACACAGAACCAATGCAAAGAAGAAAGCCAAGAGGTCAGAGCTAAGAGCTAAAACCTTACCCTTCCTCCTGCGGTGGTATTACCTCTCCGAAAGAGAGCTACTTCCTGTGTTAAAGTCTTTATATGAACTTTCGGTTCTGCCTTCTCATTGGTTGTAAACCCAATCACATGACCGCCTCGTCACTGCCTGTCTGTACAGACCTCTAGGTCTTCTATGGTTGGTATTGAGATTAAAGGCGTGTGTCTCCAGTGCTGGCTGTATCCCAGATCACACAGAGATCTACCTAGCTCTGCCTACCAAGTGCTGGGATTAAAGGCGTGCACCACCGCCCAGCTTTCCTATGGCTTGCTAATAGCTCTGACCCTCGGGCAACTTTATTAACATATAAATAACATTTTAGTACAAAATAAAATATCACCATACAAGCTTTCATAATAAATTAAGTGTCTGCGACATTTTTTTTGGGTTTTTGTGTGTGTGTGTGTGTGTGTGTGTGTGTGTGTGTGTGTGCGCGCGCGCTGGCAGCCCAAATAAAAAAAAATCTGTCTACACACCCTGATTGTTTTTCCCTGCCTGCTATAAAGCCTGCAGAGACCCTAACTAAGCACCAAAGAAGCCATGGGTTTCTTTCAGATTTAGGGCAAAAACACTGAAGACAAAGTCACACCCACAAAGCCAAACTCAAGAGCTTCTTTTAACAGTACCCCTGAGCCCTGAGGTAGTTTGGACATGAAATCTTTCCCAATGATAATAGAGTTAAGGCTTAGTCCTCGGTGCAGCAGAGTTCAGATGTGAGGCAGGTGGATATGAGAGTATAAATCTCCTCAACAGGTTGATCCACTGATAAGTTCACAGCAGAATGGACTATTGGGGGGAGCAACCTAGCTGTCAGAAGCAATGGTCTTTGTGAGGTAAAGATCTGGCCCACCTCTGCTTCACTGGTCACCGTAGCTCTGACACCTGTAAGTGTCTGGGGCTTTATAGGTGCTCAGCGTGTAGTTTGGGGATGGAGTGACCGCAGGAAACTAGAGGACTGTAGGGTTCCTTCTAATTCAGCAAGCTAAAATCTAAATCAAGAATATGACAGTAGAAAGATCAATGTGAAAGACATCAAACAATAAAAATACCAGGGTAGGGGGAGGGGAAGGCAAGGAGAAACAGAACAAAAAGCCTGGATGATGTGAATGAAGAGGGGCTTCTCAAGGGAAAAGGAGCCTTAATGGAATTTGACCTAGAGGCTCCCATGGCAAAGGCCCTTCTGCTTAGTGAGGTGATTCTGCCAAGTAGTAAACACCAGCAGATGATTTGTGGAACATTTTCTGTGGGGCTGTTTATATCAAGAAGAGGTCTTCAGGAGTTGCTACTTAAGGTGCTTATCTTTATTTCTTTTTCTGTATGTATGTGCAGAAGTGCGTGCATGTTTTGTGTATACATGGGTGCATATGTGTGGAGGCCAGAAGCTAACCTGAGGCATTGTTCCTCAGAGGCTGTCCACTTTCATTTTTTTTTTAAGATTTATTCATTTATTTTATGAATGAGTGCTCAATCTGCATGTACATCTTTATGCCAGAAGAGAGCATCAGATCCCACTAGAGATGGCTGTGAGCCACCATGTGGTTGCTGGGAATTGAGCTCAGGACATCTAGAAGAGCAGCCTGTGCTCTTAACTAATGAGTCATCTCTCCAGCCCCCACTTTCGTTTTTGAGACATGGTCTCTTACTCAGAAGAGAGGTTCACTGATCCCAGGGACCCACCTATTTCCACCTCCCCAATACTGGGATTACAGGTGCATGTCACCAAAATGGCCTCTTTATGTATTCCATCACATTCTCCAGATCCTCAGAACTTGATTACCTGTAGAGATCAGACCTTCAATAAGGCAAGTGGGTTAAAAAGAGCCCATTAAGATGAGCCCTGTTCCAATCTGAAAGATGTCCTTACATAAGCAGATGTGAGTACAAGCAGAAATGCTAGTGGTGTAGTGGCACAGAGGAAAGATCATGCGAGGCTACAGCAAGAGGGTGACCACCTGTAAGCCAGGCCGGTCCTCTACAGCAAGCAGACTTGATGACACCACACCCACGACCCTCCATCCTCCATAACTGTGAGAAAGTAAATCTCTCCCACCTGAACCACTTCAGCTGTTGTATCCTGCTATGGCAGCCACAATAAACAGAGGGAAACCTCCCTGTCACCGACAAATGCCCACCGGAGGGTTGTTTCTCAGAATACTGTTCATAGCCTGTCTGACTTTCATTCACTCATTTAAGCAACAAACAGTGACCACTATCGTATACAAGATGCTGTCTTAGGGGCTGAGAACAGCTCATGTTTACTCAACTGCAGATACCGGCTCAGCACCTGACCTGCACCGACTCATTAGTCCTACAAGGTCCCGAGGAGTAGGCGCTGCAGTCACAGCATTCTGCAGATGGGACGCCAAGGCACAGATGGCCCCGTGGTGAAGGAGGCGGCGCGCGGCTATGAGGCCAGGTCATACGCGCCTCTCCTCTCTTGGGGCGACGCAGGCACCAAGAGCCGCGCAGACCGCAGCAAGGGTGACAGCAAGAAGGAGGCCTGGCTCCCAAGTCCGGAGCCTAGCTTTGTGCTCGGCCAGGCGCGCCACACCGCGCTGTCAGCAGGCCCGCGCGCATCCCAACCGCGCTGACCCGCAGCCCGCGCGAGGCCAGAGTCCTGGGTCGCCTTACCACCGGAGGCCGCCCCCGCCCGGCCGCCTTCTCGTCACTTGTCCCCGTCAGACCCTCGGCGTCAACTGCAAGACTGCAACCACCACGGAACCATTCCGACAACGCCCCCTCTGCAGCTCATCGGCGGCTTCCGGCGCCGTCACTTCCGTCCGGGGCGTGGCCGCGATGCGCATGCGCATTGGCGCGCGCCGGCCGGGCATGAGTTCTACGCGGGTGAGCTGGGAGAGCCGGTGGCAGCGCTGCGCTGGGCTGCTGCGGCTCCACGTGCTCCCGGCAGCCGGTTAAGACCGTTGGCGGAGTCTCCTGAGAGGTAAGGGCGGCGGCTTGGAGCCCGGGGCCTGGAAGGAGGGCGATGGCGGCGTGGCCGCCTTCCTTGCGGACCCGCTCGCGGGCAAAGGCTGGAGTCCTGAGCTCCGAGAGAAATTGCGTCCCGGTTTTTAGTCAGAGAGGCTGTCGGGGCCGGACAGATGGCATGGTTGGTCCCCACAGCACAGGGCTGCAGACCTGCTGCCTGATGGGGAGAAGGTTCTTCTTCCTGAGGAGGGCCCTGAGGGCTCCTGGAGCACAGAGGACCAAAGACCTAAAAGGGCGTGCGAATCCCCAAATCTCCCAACTAGAGACAAGCTACTTAACTCTGTTGTGCTTAGCTCCACGTCTGTCCAGAAGGGATGCTAGAGAACCTGACTTGGGGTGTGTGTGTGACGATTACAGGGGTAGAGAGCTTGACATATAGTAGTTGCTCAGGAAATGTCAGGATTTTCCTGCAGCAACTAACGCCTAGGAGAGAGAGGTGAGAGGGATGTGTGTTGCCTGCAAGCCTAACTTCTAGCCATTGAGGGCCTAGGACACGGGTTTGCTCGAATTGTGCCAGATTCCTGGTGTCTACCATAGTACCTAACACATGTAGTTGTTCAGGTGAGGCTGTAGTGGGGAGGCTCGAACTGCAAGGCAGAAGCATAGCTTTGAGCTTTGATGGAAATAGGTACCTGACTCATGGTTTTCCCCCAGGTCCCAGGAAGGTAGAGAGATGTGTGTTTGTCTTTTCTTGTCTTGCACTGCACTTGTGATTTCTGGGAGTTCTCCTGGAAGGGGCTTATGTCTAGTATAGTGTGCTGAGTTCCTATTCTTTTTGTTTGTTTTTTGAGACAGGATTTCTCTGTGTAACAACAGCCCTGGCTGTCCTGGAACTTTCTTTGTAGCCCAGGCTGGTCTCGAACTCACAGAGATCCTCCTGCCTCTGCCTCC